ATTGAAGACCTAGTAAGATAATTTCCACTACAGTTTTTTCCTGGACTATTGCATGTATTATTCAATTGCTCTGCTCCATTTTATTCTATCTCCCCAGTGTTTTTTCAAAGTACCTGTAAAAAAAGAAATACATTTTTACAAGTGAACCTCAGCTATTGCTAAAGTTGAATTGCATCTTACAACCTAGAGAATGATTTGGTTTATTAACTTGCAGTGCCACCTAGCAAACGCCCTTAACATTTTTTTCCTGGTGTAGTTTTATATAGGACAATTTAGAGCTTTCATATTTAAAGGGAAAAAAAAAAAAAGCAAGCTTGCACTTGTAGTATTTTTAACATCTAGTGCATAGTTTTGTTTTGAACAGTTAAATTTATATTAGAAATTAGGCTTACAAATAGAATCATAATAAAGATGCTCACATACTTAGAATTCTGGTATATGAAGCCTGAAAATGAGTTTTGGTCATATCCCCCTCATATTTGTCTGCATATAGTTCCAGTAATTGTTGAGGGACTTTTTTGAAATCATATACGTTGATAGTAAGTCAGTGCTGAATTTATTGAAGTTTGGAGATGAGAGGTTCCTGCCACCAAAATAAGGAGGATTCCAGCTTATCAAGGCACACTAATACCTTGCATGCAGACACATGAAAAAAAGTGAAAGCTGAACCAGCTTTATTTGCCTTGCCTTAAAATAACAGCCACGTCTCAGGACAAAACAAGTTTACATATTGAACTCTTTCTATTACCCTAAGCCTCTAACAGGAAGCTGCCTCCTGTTCAGCTGCTGTGCCAAATTCTAGTGAGCTATTCTGATAGAGAGCACAACCAAAGAAGCAAAAAGCAGCCTTATGACATCAAGAGCAAAGGATGGACAGAAAAATACACTCTGCTGAATGACCTGATCCTTTCTGATGATGCATCTTGGACCAACTACACTGTAAGCTCCTTGAATAAAGCAATTAATCTTCATTTGCAATGTCAACATGTACCAGTATTTAGACAGTACTATGGCAACAATACAAAATTTTATTGCACTTTTACTGCTTCTCTTATAATTTTTAAGCAGAGTTCTACTATTGTACTTCCTGGTGAACTGAGAAACCACTACATGCTTTATGGGTTCTAGAAATAAAGCAAGCCAATACAAAAAGATACATTTCCAATAATAACAACAGTTTTGGCTTAGTTGTGATCCAATGATCCTTGATTTTACAGCCTATCTTCAGAGTCCAGCACTGTGTGAGAACTGCATTTACAGGAAGACCCATGTATCACTTCATCAAACCAAGGAGAAAAAAGAAAGTAAACTAAAATAAAAGCCACAGGATGCAAAGAATGAAGTTTTGAAAAGCACTACAGACCCTATCTTTATTGAAGATGGATGGCAGATGTTTCCATATTTGCTGAGAACTAAATTGCTATTCTAGGTCAAGGAAGGAAACACTTTTTTTCCAAAAGAAACCTGCATTTTGCATACTGTCTTGAGACCATAGTAAAGCCACTAATTCTTTCCAGAAGAACTACCTCTATCTTGTATGGCTCAATTAGTTTTGCATAGAAATCTATGCAAAAATAGCAGATGCATTTTGTATGTTATAGTCCTATCAGAATTTTGGATCTTAGTCCCTGCAGATTGGCAAGAATGGTCTCTCCAAAAAGCCATTTTAAGAGAAAGGATCCTTAAAATTCATCTCTTCTCATCCTGACTTGATGCATTGATGTTTTTTGCTAGTTCTGCCATCATTCTATGGTTCTGGTCCATTTTCATTCATCCTTAACACTGTTTTTCCACAGAGTTCTCCAGACACGTGAGGTGTTAATTGTTTTCTATACAGCACCAAGACTCTCAGTTTGGTTTCCTGCTTGAAAATGTGCTTTGAGAAATGCAGTAATAAATTTGCCACAAAAAACCCTCCACCAAAAACCACAGGCAATAATGTCACCTCCTTTTCTTTCACAGAATTTGCAAACATCTGCTGCTAAAATGTTGTAACAAGTGAAAAGACTTTACAGATTATTTCTATACAATGGAAGTAGCACTTGGATTTAGAATCAAGAAGTCTTTAGAAACAAAGGTCTGTAGATTCATCTTACTTTGAATACTGAAAAGGAATCACTTTTTCAGGTCAGGTGGGTAAGTGACACACCATCTGCTGGCTGTTCGAGAACTGCTTCTGTTGTTACATTTTTGTCTCTTCTTGATATCACAGTAAAGAAAGAAAAATGAAAACACAGGTCAAGCAAATCTCTCTGCCTCCTAATTCCCAGAAGCTGAAACCCTCCAGAAGCCAGATGTTCTGACTGAACCAAGCCTCCACAACCTGTCTAGAAACTGATGACTGACGACCCTCTCACTACGCACCACAAACTTTCAGTGCTAACTTTCAGTCGTAACCGTCAACGTTTTCACTGTCCTCCAAATTGCAAAAGACAGGATTCTCTATTTATAAATTCACATAAGTGTCTCCTTCACAAGAGACTAAGATTATTGTTGTTCAAACTCAATGACATGTTATAATAAAGCAGGTGGTGTGAATGTTCTCAAATTTATTTTACTAAAATACGCCTTTTTGACTACTCATTACTATGACACTATTCTTTTTTTGCCCTTGTATAATGCAAAGATGAGTCATGTGGGTTTTTTTTCTCCTCAAGAAGTAAAGGAAATCCATACCTTAATAAGAAGATAATTACTATGCTTAAGTGATGAGGACTCAGACAGCTCTCAGTTGGGAAGCTATTTATTTTATTTGGTTAATGTACAAGAAATGTTTAGGTTGCCAGTTAACAAAATAATGCACTACAGCTGGAGATGTGCAACAACCTCGATGAACAGGGAGAAAACTTATGAGCTCTGTACTTGTAGAATGGAGACCACATCTCTCTTTTCCCCTCTCACCTCCTCTCCATCCCTCAGTCTCTGAATTCTTCTAAGCTCTAGCAAAAGCATTTTCTCTATGTTTTATACATTTTCTGGGCTCAAACTTAACATCTTGTTAACATTTAACCTCAGTTTCTCTATACAAGTAGAACACACTTTTTTTTGCCAAGCAGCATGATGGCCCTGGAAGTTCTTAACAGAACATCCTTGCTGCAGGTGCTGTTACTGGCAGTGAGCACTTCTCTTTCATAAACACATGATGTTTTTACAGAGAACTAAAGATGTTGACCAAAACAGTCTTGTCAGCATTGTCTTGGCAATCTCCCATTATAAGCTTAACACAGCTACTGACCAGCTAGAGGAGTTAGGTTTGGGTTTCTTTATTCACTGCACGCACCGTTTCCATTCATAAGGCAGTGAGGAGAACAAGTAAAAACTTCCAACACTTGATTCCTGTGCTCTGTCACCCTCCAGGCTATCGTTACTAATTAGGAGTCCATGCAGAGTTTCACATTTTTATAAAAATAATCAAATATATACAAAAATACACACATTTTGGGGAAAAAAAAATATATAATGAAAAAGTAACATGGTATTTCTATCTCCTGTTTTATCCACATGATCTAGTCATTACACAGAGAAGATGAAACCCTACAGAATTTACTAGGATTTATATATTTTTTTACACCATTTATATTTCTAATACTGTGGAAATGTTGGGTCAATTTTAGTGGCCCAAGCCATGAGCCCCCCTTTAATATCCTTGACTAAGACAGAACCAAATTCTTTCACAGGTAATTCCTGCAGAATTCTTACAGCCTTCTGGGAGTCATTTCCCAATTTGCAAACAACATATACAGGCAAAGTTGCTTGGCCATTAGTTCTCTGCTTTTCTTCACAAATTCTTTCTTCTAAATATTGCAGATATTCTTTATCCTCTTCCTCTAGCTTGCTCAGAGGCACGTGGACAGCATGAAGCAGCCGGCAGATTTCCACTTCCACCTGCGGCCGAACATCTAGCAATACATGAGGAACTTGCTCATCCAACAGCTTTTTGTATTGCTCTACAGATATCCTGTCTTTACTGGATAGCAGATGTAAAGTCCTGCACTTGTCTGTTGCAGAAGAACCACAGAATGCCTCATAATCCTGCAGGCAGGTGACAGATGGATTGTCACCACAGACAGCACAGTCTGGTTTCTTGGGTCTTAACTTGATGTTGCGGAATCTCCCTTCAAGGGCATCAAACATGAGCATGAATTGATTGAAGGAGGAACCCATTCCCGAGGCGATCTTCAGGACTTCCAAGGCCTGGATGCACCCCATGATGCCTGGCACAACGCCCAGCACCCCTCCATCCGCGCAGTTAGTCACTGTCTCTGGTGGAGGGGGCTTGGGGAAGAGGCACCTGTAGCAGGGCCCTCCCTGGTAGTTGTACACGACGAGCTGCCCCTCCAGCCGCAGGGCACTGCCAGACACCAGCGGCTTCCCAGCCAGCCAACAGGCGTCGTTTACCAAGTA